AATGTACCCATATACCCACCACCCAGATGGTGCCATTAATTTTTTACTATACTTGTTTTGCTACATCTTTACATTTATCCATCAATCCATGTTATTTTTTGACATATTTCAAGGTAAAGTGCATCAGCAGTTTACCCCTAAATATTCTGTATGCAAATTATTAGGTGGAGCCTAATACTTGTTTATAATTTTTTCTTTTGATGGAAAATTTACATACAATGAAATGCACAAATATTAAATTATATTTGCTGAGTTTCAACAAATACATACGTCTACGTAACCCACATCCATACCAAGAAATAGAACATTACCAGGAGTTTCTTTCATGATCCTTCCTAGTCACTCCCCTCCCCCACACTCCACTCTCGAAGGCAAGCACTGTTCTGATGTTTTTCACCATAGATTCTTTTTACCCATTCTAGAACTTCATATAAATAGAATTATACAGTTTGTACTCTTTGGTGTTAGCTTCTGCCACTCAGAATGATGCTTTTGAGAATCATCCATGTTGTTGCATGAATCAGTCATTCATTTCTTTTATTGCTGAGAAATATTCCACCTGGATTGCTTCTAGGCTTTGGCTATTACAGATATAACTTCTATGAAAATTCTTGTACAAATGCTTTTCGTGAACGTGTGTTTTCATTTCTCTTGCATAAATACCTAGAAGAGGAATTGCTGGGCCTACAGTAGGTATATGTTTAGTTTTATAAGAAACTTCCAGACTTTTTTTCCAGAGTGAATATACCATTTTACACTCCCACCAACAGTGTATAAGATTTCCAATTGCTGTGTTTTCCTTTTTTCATTTCTGCTGTTATCTTTTTAAATTCCATCCTTCTACTTATTCTGGATTTACTTCATTTTTCTTTTTCTATACCTTTTAAAGTAGAGCCTTAATTACTGATTTTGACCTTTCTATTCTAATATAACAATTTCAAACTACGAATTTCCTCATAAGCATTGCTTTAGCTGCTTTCTTCACATTTTGATAGGTTGTACTTCTGTTTGTTTTTAGTTTAAAATATTTTCTAATTTCTTTTGTGATTTATTTCACTCATAAATTATCTGGAAGTGTTTTAATTTCCAAAATGTTGGGGACCTCCTAGATATCTTATTATTATTGATTTATAATTTAATGACATTATGATCAGAGAACATAGTCTGCATAATTTCAGTCTTTTTTGAATTATTGAGGTTTATTTTATGGCTCAAAATATGGTCAGTGTATCTTGATGAGCGTACCATGTACACTTGAATGTTTTTTCTTCAGTATTGGAGTATAATGTCTTATAAAAATCAATTAGGTCAAGATGGTTGATAGTCCTGTTTAGATTCCCTATATTTGCTGATATTTTTTGGCCTTATTTTCCTATTAATTGCTGAGAGATGAGTCTTTAGTCTCCAACTATGACTTTAGAATCATGTTTCCCCTTTCTTCTGTCAATTTTTATCTCATATATTTTGAAGCTCCAAAATGCATTTTACAACTTTTCTTTTCCAAAATGGATATAATCAAGTATCCTTACCAAAGTGTTTAACCAGGGCTTCCCTGGTGGCGCAGTGGTTGGGAGTCCGCCTGCCAATGCAGGGACACGGGTTCGTGCCCCGGTCCCGGAGGATCCCACATGCCGCAGAGCGGCTGGGCCCGTGAGCCATGGCCACTGAGCCTGCGCATCCGGAGCCTGTGCTCCGCAACGGGAGAGGCCACAACAGTGAGAGGCCCGCGTACCGCAAAAAAAAAAAAAAAAAAAAAAAAAAATGTTTAACCAGAATCTTATCAAGTCTTTAGGCCCATTTAATTTCCTGAAGAGGAAAAAGTTAAATAATATTATGAGGAAATAATCAGGCACATCCAGAATAAGGGACAGTCTACACAAGATAACTGGCAAGTTCTCTTCAAAATGTTAACGCTAATGTCATAAAAAGGGAGAGATTAGGAGTACTGTCCTAATAAGACTTAGGAGATATATCAAGTACATGCAATGCTTTCTTTTAAACAGCTGATCATTTTTGCATAAACAACCAAGACTTGAGAGACACAGTGTTACAAATGTTCCAGTTTGACTATCAGAGAGGAAATGTAGCCAGGTTACATAGTAGTGAGTGCACAAAGATGACAAGGCTGATTGAAGGCAAGAAGATCAACCCAATCCCAGGAAGAATCCTTCAGCAGTTTTCCTGCTAAATCTACAGCATCAGGGTGTAGTGGAACTTTGTGTGATGGTGATAGAGGTAAAGAAAAGGAATTCTCACTGTACCCATTCATGCCATAATTCTGTTTCTGTCGGAAACCACCAACCACCATATAGGAAAGCAAAGTTGTTCACATAAGGTGCTCCCAACTTGGTCTTTGTCGTATATACCATGCTGTGCCGCTCAGATCACCACTTCAAGAATGAAGGATTGGGTTCCCCACTGCTGAGAAGATTGTCAGATGACAGCTCTCTGCAAAGAGCCCTCCCTGGGAATTGCCTCAACAGAAAAGAGTCATGTCACCCAAAGTCACTGCCCCTTCATAGGTCAGGCTGTATTCAGTGCCTGGTCATCCTAGACAAAGTGTCTGCTCCCTCACTCCAACTTGGTACAACTCTAAAGAACCACGCCAGCCTCAGAGCTTCCCATGGGGTTGGTTGAGCCCTATTAGTTGGAACCACAGCCAATCCCTCCCTAGTACCCCTCCTGTGTGTTGATCTCCTTCTCAGAGTCGGTCTCCTGGAGAATCCAACCTGCAGTAAGGTTACACGGCCAGTTACCATTAAGGAGCTCACAACACTTTCATTGATATTTCTATAGAAACAGAATTTACTCAGAATTTTCAGAAGGAGAAGTCAAGGCACAAAATTTCCGTGATTTTCTTGAGATTATCAGAGGTGCCAATACTGTGTGAAGCCAGTGTGCCACGGCATGTTCAAAAGCCACAAAAGAATGCTGCCAAGTTTTCTTCTCTGTATAAAATTTATTTTTGCTACAATAGAGTAAAACTCACCATTCTAGCTATGTGTGCCAGATGGAATGTTAAGATTCGTGGGTTTGCAGAGTGGGGTACAGAGGAGGGAGTAACAAGTTTAGAACAAGTGTTAAGAAGCAGAGTATTCAAAGAAAGATAGTGTGTTTATTGGAAATGTGATATACTCTCCTCATGAGTATACACAAGAATATAGGCAGGACAGTAAATCTACTGAAACAGCAACATCACGCGGAAGGGTGACAGTGACTATTGCAATAACTGTGGGATAACTTTAGAGATGCTAGGAAAAATGGTTATACAGTAGGAGTAGTTACAGGGGTGTTTCTGCTGTCCAGTTTAATATTTGGAGATTTGCCATCAAAATCTCCAGCTTTCAAACATCAGCACTGAATCCAAAAATGTTGAGACCCCTGAGCTGGGGATTAGAACCCAGGAAATAAGCATGCCTCTCCCCCCACCCGCACTGGTCCCACGAGTTCTGTCTGCACCCAGAAGTTAAAATAGAAAAATAGATATAGTTTTTATTATCCCAAATTGAGAAGCTTGTGCTGTTTCCTAATAAAATTAAGCATATTGGCATTCAAAGCCTGTTACATAAGGACTGTTAATCAGAAGAGAATGTAAAGGATAGAGGAGGTATTTACTTAAGAAGCATAACCAGCATTTTGATGTCCCTGGATCTGTTCAGCATAAAGATGTGGCCCCATAGAGTGAATACAAACATGGCACTTCATTTTGACAATGTCTAAACTGCCTTTCTATTTTCTTTTCTCTTAAAGTTTGTTGGCACATTTCCTCCAGCGGAGCCTATCAGCTCAGCACACAAAGCCTTCTTTGTACTCCTGAAACAGAGGTATTGATAAGCCCAAAGAAATCAGATGAGACAGGTTTCTGGTTCTTTCTGGCATCAGCGAGGTCCAGTTTTCAAAAGGTCTGTGGCTAAGGCTCCAGAGTCACACGTGAACTACTGTATTCTATGACTTATTGGCAAATCTGCAACTGTTTCACACAAACTAAAGCCAAAAGTCTGCTCTCCACCATCAAGACTGGTTGCGGTAATGACCGTAAATTCATCACGTAACCACACAACTCTTTATTTCATACAAGCTAGTGAAAAGTCACAGAATTCACTTATGGGTCTTGCTATTTAAAACAAAAGAAATATTTTAACTATGAAGCCAAAAGTTGAGGAGAGTTTTAAATCTCGGCAACTTCTTATCTGCAATACCTCCTGATTATTCTTCTCCCAACAGGCTGGTCATTTTCGTTAATGTAGCTGGCAGCTCCGACTTCGCCTGCAGGGGAATGTAACACAGAGCTGCCAGCCAGAACTTGAAATTCTCTGGTTTTTGTCACTTGCAGTTAGCATCGCAGCCTTTTCTAAATTTAGGATAGTGAATCATACGAAACAGTGACCTGACTGCAAAGCTTCATCAAGTTTGTGCAGGGGTGCTATCGACAACACGTTGTATTGTAAAGGTCAACAAGGTGAACATTACAGAGCCTCCTACTGGTTCAACACTAACAAAAGAAAATGACATTGTGAACTAGGCTTGCTTCACTGGACAGAATACAGATGTGCTCCCTTGCATTTTTTAGCTTCCTTTTCTAATGCTTCCAGTATAGTTTATGGATTCGTAGCATATGCATATGTCAGCTTGTGGCTCTAAAGGATTAATTTCACTTTATCCAATATGTTGCTAAAACTCTCAGGGAATTCGTGGTCTAGTGTGATGGGCTGACATAGCACAAATTTAACTCAGATTCTGTTTTTCATACTGTCACAATTTATGTGCAGCATTGTTTGTGGGAATTCAGATAAGGTTATTTAATGAAAGAAAAATGACAAGTAAGACATTCTTTAGCCATCCCTGATTTTAGCCAATTCCTCACCCTTTACATCCAACAGATTATCAAGATCTAAAGACCCGAGTTCAGTCCAGAAGCCGGCATCTCCCCTCTCCCCGTTGCTGGTACCTGAGTTCAGATCTCTCTAGTTTTCCTCAGGGCCCTCACAGTGACCTCTTACCTGGTCTCCCTTTTGCCAGTCTCTGCTCTGAAACCAGGATTCATTCTGATCTGATCATGTCACTCCCTTCCTAGAATAGAAAAAAAAAAATGTGGCTTTATGGGAGTGCAAAGAAGTTCTGGCTTCATAACCTCATTTGAATGAATGAATTCATCAAAGTCTGCAACCTTATCCTCATATCCATAAGCTCAGAAACTTGTGCAGTATCTCAGCGATGGACCCACATTAACTAATCCTGCAAGATTCATGTAAGAACCAAAATTGTCAGCATATTAATTTTCATTGAAATGTAGCTGCTAGGCAAGCCCTAATCTTCATCTTGGCCTGAGCTGCATGGGCCTCCCCCAGAAGCAGAGTTACATGAAAAGCCATATTATAATAAGGTTATTATAATACGGAGTCCCTGGAGGCCCCTCGGGAGAGTGAGTTGTTTGGCCATTTGGGACCTTAAGAGCATGACGGTTCTGGCTGTGACCACGTCACCGCAAGTACGTGCACCGCACACAGGGAGCTCTCTCCCATGACTCCGCTTTCCTGGGCTTCTATCTTCCACAATCCAGGCTAAGCAGCCATTTCCTGTCAGCACAAACAGAGGATTAAGTTTCCACATTTTGCATAGAATTCATGCACTTCCCGGAGATTGCTTCTGCCTTGGAATTCTAGGAGAGATTCTGGAAATCTTCAATAATAAACTCACGGATGGGCCCAACTGATTAGTGCTTCACTCTCTCAATAACCAAACACATTCCATCTATGTCTTCTCAGCTTTATTTCCAGCTTCTTTGGGGTCTCTTCCTGTCACCCTTTAAAATCTGGCCCCAAACTGCCTCATCTCCAGCTACTCCCACATATCTGTTCTCTCCAGACACACCAAACTCTTCACTCTTCTCCTTTCATGCTGGAGCAGTAGGTTCCTTAGACTGCAAGCCCCAGAAACTGTTTCTGGTTAAATTAAGGGGCAAAGGGATTTACTAGGGTATATGGGGTAGCTTAGAGCATCAAGAAAAACCAGTTTGCAGAAAGGATAGAGACCGGAGTAGAGCTGAGGACCTAGATGGCGAGAACAGCTCTCTTCAGGGAGACCCCATGAGAAAGAATCAGCTCCAGCCACTTCCTATCCTGCCCAAGTCTCAGAGGCCCACATCCCACACTTCAGCTTGGGGAGGTCAGGGCACCTTTACTGGCAGACCTCCAAGACAGTTTAGAAAGAGATGAATAATTCTCAAAGGAAAGGCAGGTCCCAGAACTAAATACCACAGTGAGCGATGTGGGGAGCAAGGTTAATTGAGAGTGGATAAACTGGCAGACCGAAGTGTGGAGCTGGACCTAAAGGCTCAGAGAGCATAAATGCAGAGGCAATTTGAAAGTTAAAGGAGGAAATGTCCAGGGAGGCAACACACTGTATAGAAAGAAAAAGGGAGAAATGGGGAGAGAGGGAAAGGAAGGAGCATTTTAGTCTATGTAAATGGTTCATGGACATCTTACATGTGATAAGAAAAGTGTAAGAATGCATAATGTGTATACACTTAATAATTAAAAACTTGGAGATTGAGTGAATTTAAAAGAATAGACATTTACACAAATTCAAGGAATTAATTTTTGCAGCTGTATTTAAAGTCCCAGCTCTTCAAAAAGACCTTCACAATACAAAATTCTGGCCTGGATACTCCTCCCACTCTAGCTCTCCATGCTTCGATACTGCTCATTTTTTATTCCTTCAAACGCCAGCTCCCTCCCATCTCAGAGCCTATGCGTATGCGGTTCCCTCTTCTAAGGTCTTCTTCTTCTGCTGTGTTAGCCAGTGTTCTCCAGAGAACAGAATCAATAGGAGATATACCTCTATCTGTTTATCTACCTACCTATCTATCTACCTACCTATCTATCTATCTATCTGGATAGATTTATTTTAAGGAATTGGCTTACTTGATTATGGGGGCTGGGAAGCCCAAAATTCTAGGGCAGCCAGCAGGCTGGAAACTCCAGCAAGAGCTGGTGTTGCAGTCTTTGTCCAAAGGCTGGAAACTCGGGCAGAATTTCTATGTTGCAGTCTGAAGGCAGAATTTCAATCCGTTTCTCTTTGGGAGACCTCAGTCTTTGTTTTTAAGACCTTCAATTGATTGGATGAGGCCCATCCATGTTATGGAAGGTAATCTGCTTGAATCAAAGTCTACTAATTTAAAAGTTAACCACATCTAGGGCTTCCCTGGTGGTGCAGTAGTTGAGTGTCCGCCTGCCGATGCAGGGGACACGGGTTCGTGCCCCGGTCCGGGGAGATCCCACATGCCGTGGAGCGGCTGGGCCCATGAGCCATGGCCGCTGAGCCTGAGAGTCCGGAGCCTGTGCTCGGCAACGGGAGAGCTCACAACAGTAAGAGGCCCGCGTACCGCAAAAAAAAAAAAAAAAAAAAAGTTAACCACATCTAAAAATAACCTTCATGGTATCATGTAGACTGGCGTTTGACCAAATACCTGGGCACCATTAGCCTAGCCAAGCTGACACATAAATGTTAACTATCACATTTCCTCTTCCTGTCCCCCTATGCACCCACACCTCCACCAGCCTTGATTAACACCACCTCCTTCACGTCTCAGCTCAAGGCTCAGTTCCCCGAGGAAGACTTCCTCAACCCTGTCTTACATGGACACTCTTAGAGCACTCTGGACCTTTCCTTCTTAGCACCTCCCACAGCCAGGGGTTAATATGTGTGTGCTTGGTGGGGGTGGGGGGGTAGGTATAAAACTGTGTAACTGTTTACTACTATCTGTCTGTCCACTGAAATGTAAGCCCCATGAGGTTAGACTGTTTTTCTTATCACCCTTCCCCTAGCACCAGGCCCAGTGACTCCACTTCATAGTCACTCCATACATTTTTATTGAATGAATTAATGAAGGTATTCAGAAAAATGGTACTGAGTTTGTGATCACAGCACATTTGTTGACTTTCAAAGGTTAAAACAGCCATAGACATCAGCAGAAACCTTTGCTTGCTCCCTAACTTTATTCCAACTTCCTACAAGGAGCATCACATAAAATGTTTTTCTAGACGTTTAATACAAGGTGCCTCATGGGACTGTACCCAGCCTGACAAGTAAATCCGGTCTAGTTTTCTCTTTCTTTTTATTCCTAATCCCAAGAACAGTGGCGATAAGAAGGGCCATTTGGGGTACAAAGAGCCTTCTTCCTGTAGTGAGCAGACCTCACTGGGGTCAGCAGGCAGAGACGCTGTGATGAATTGAAGTGCTCAAGAAAGCATCTTCAAACATACGGAATGAAGACTGATATTACCCTGGGAATCATCTAAATACGTACAGTTTTTCACGCATGATGGATTTGTTAAGCATAGTTGGAATATTCTCCATTCTTAAATAGCTATGAATAATTGCAGTATTTGTAAATTACTATACATTAGCACGCTATGCAGGCACACTACAGTCAAATTAATTCATTAACCCTTTTCAGAACACTGATCTTATAGGTTGAGACCCAGGAAAACTAAATTAATATATCCATAAATGTAAATCAAAAAACTTAATAAGATGCCTTCCTAAACAAAATACCACCAGTTTTCTTTTTGTCACGATGATTTAGTTTGATAAGACAAAAGACACGATGAAAAGGAAATGAACAAGCAAATATGTACATATCATATAGTTGGAAAACATTTTATCCCTTTTGGTATCTTCCACATACCCTGAAGCCCATCTTTAACTTTCTCAAAACAAGCTTTTACCGCCTTTCTATTTTCCCCTCTTGTTCTTTCCCAACTTTTCCTCCAGATTTTTAGATAATGAGAAGGCAAAATAATAAGCCTAGACACTATATTGTTTTTATACTCTATTTGAAAGAGTACCTCTGAAAACTTATTTTGGACAATGCCTTCAATAATAAAATTCTGAATATGCCCTATAGCTGTCATTTGAAAACAAAGATATTGTAAAGCAATTATACTCCAATTAAGATGCTAAAAAAAAAAAAGATACACCAGACACAGATGAGGCAATGAACAAAACATATGTACAGATATGGATGGTGGAGTCCTTTTTCAACATGACATGAGATGCCTAAGAAATAAAAGTCTATCTTTGTCCTTACAATCCAACTGGGATGGGCTAGAGCAGGGGTGGGGGACACCATTGATCACAATGGGTGTGTTAGAAATCCAAAGCAATGTATGAGAATACTCTTCACATGCCCACAGATTGATTTCTAAACTCAAGAATGTCTAGGTCAGTGGAACTGGACATGACAAACTTCTCAGGGAGTTGAGGGGAGGGGTGATGCACTAAGTCTAAGAGAATTTTTGGAGCTAGAGATGAGAGTGCAGAGTTGGAAGGAAGGAAGGAGAACATCAGACTAAGTATGAGATCACGAGTAAGGACAACGGGCATAAGACTGGTCCTTACACACCTGGTTGCAGAGGAAAAGAAATGGTACTTAGGAAGGTCAGAGAGGTATGGATCAAAAATTCAGATGTGGAGGGTCTTGACTGCCAAGGGCTAAGAGGAGGTCTAATGAGCAAGAGCAAATCAGCCCAGGGAATAATATAAACTGCTGTTGGGGAAGTCAACAGTGGAATCAATAAAAGATTCTTTACTGCGTCTCTTATTAGTTTTTGACTCAGAAAAAAAAAAAAAAAAGCAACTTTAGAAGTAGCCCCTGATTCAGGACCACAGTAAACCAGTAAAAATATGTGGGTTTTACCAGCACTGGTGGAGTTCAGACCACAGCCTGGGGAAGTGGGATGTGTTCTGGTTAAACAGATATTTACCAGTAAATTATTTGTGTTTATTTTCAGGGGCAATTACATAGTTTATGCATGCTTTCAAGGGATTTAGATCATCCTCATTTGATACATGATGGTGATGAACTGTATCTAAAGATTTACCCAAGTGATTTCTAAATGCAGACATGTCAAGTGAACAGCCATTTGAAAGAAACTCACCCTGGAGTTTGCATGGCACCATGGGTTTGAACACTCCTTCAAGAGCCTTCAGAACAATAAACCATGATGGTCTAATGCAAACCAGAAATTCACAAGCTCAGGCTTTCTGCAGTTTACTGACACTCCAGTCTCAGCTGGAAAACTAGCACTTCAAAAGCCAGGGTGGATAGCTCTAGCTGAAAAAGACTCAGTTCTGAACAGCAGAAGAAAAGGGGATGGGGGCAGCAAAATGACCTTGCAAAGACAATTAAAGGAATTGGACAAGGCAGCATGAATAAAGAACAATTGATATTTAAGTTCCTCTTGCCCAGATGTGAACATCAGATTTCTGTCATTAAATTTTGGATTAGAAAGATGAGTGATCAGCAAAGCACAGCCAGAGCTAAAATTTGATTTTACTTTTCTAGGTTTCACTCCCAAAGAGGTTGAAATATCTGAAAAGACAGGCATTATTTTTTTTCATAGAATCATCGACCTAGACAGATCACTTGATTTGTCAGGAGAAAAATCAAATTTTACTTCCCAAAAGGATGGTTGATACTGTTTCAATCATTAGTATGCTGGTAAGAACTATACTTCAGGTACTTTGAGTGTGTTTCCATGCAGAATATATGCATATTTAACTACAATGGCTGGCACTGAATGTTCACTACATGAGATGCACATGCTTTCCCCATATATTCTAATCCTCCCAACTACCCAGTGAGGCTGGTACTCCTCTTATCTATATTTTACAAAAGAGACACTGAAGCAACTTTGTCAAGGGTAACCTCTGAATAGGACAAGCTGGGATTTGAACCCAGACAGTCTAATTCTCTTCTTAACCACTGTCATAGGTGTGTTTGAGAATGTTTCAAAATAGCTTCTCTACAATGCTAATGAAAGTATTATTTCAGGAACAGGAAGGAATTACCTACACCAACTGGCAAGTAGTGTGTCAAAAAAATATCTAACTACTTGTGCACCATTAATTCAGGGTAGTTACTCTAAAGAGTTCAAGTAAGTAGAAAGTGTCAAGAAGACTCAATATGACCAAGGATTAAAATTTTTTGTCTGATGAAATCATTGCCCGTATAGCCCAAAGTTTAGTTTTTAAATTATCCAATGATGCTTTAGGGCTGGCCTCATGTAGACCACTTAAGGAAAGGTGAGCACAACTTGGTCACAGCGATGGTTGATTAACCTCTCCACCTTCACTCCGATCTCCTCTAAAGTCCTTTGGTTTAATCAGACAAAAAGCTTTTAACCGAAGGTAAGGCCAGTGGTTACTCTTTTTTTAATGACAAATATTCATCAATGTCAAAACCTGGGAAAAACAATTAGATATTTATTAGTTAGGATCCTGTTTATATTTTTTTTTACCAATTATTTAAAGGGGCTCTATCTTTTAAATGCACTAACATATATGAATTTTTAAGCTTGCTAGTAGATTCCTTCTCATAGTAGGTACCTAAACTCAGGTAACACCTTCAAGTATCAGCTCAAATAATCAAGTTACTGATTTTTCCTAAATCAGGAAATAGGAAAATTTTTCCTATTTTCACAACAAAACAATTAACAGTTCTAATGTGAAATTATCTGAGTTTACTAATTGCCCCTCTGCTTTTTGAAAATAGTTTCTGTTACAATGCAAAATGAAAGCCTGGGAGCAATCAACATTTTAAAAAGGAGAGAGGGTCCATATTAACTTGAATGTATCAGCTAATATTTCAGTAGTGCAATAGACAGGCATTCTGGCCAACCAACAGAAATCTCTCTTGCCTACAAAACTGCATCCAGTAAGAGAGAATTAGGCCCAGAATGGGAAAAAATTTCTTCCTTAGGAAATAAATTCTTAGTATTCTCCATGTGGGGAAAGAAGCCCATTTCTATGTTTAGAACTCAGTGAAAAAGCTGACAAGTGCAAAGCTTGTCAAATATATCAAAATGCCAAAATCCATCATTTTAGACACACAAAACTACACACATCTCTTTGAGCTTCTTGGCTTCACACTGCCCAGCAGTATCCAATTGATCTTGGTCCAGAAAATTAACAATGATGTAAATGTAAATAATCCTATAAATCAGAAGTAAATGGAATTATGTTTTCTCCCTACAGCCAGGACTCATCCATTTTTCCAAGGTTCTATGACAACCTTAGAACAGAACTGTGATTCATATTTAGATTTCCCCTCTCTAGCTAAATTTAAAATAATTATGTGTACCCTGCCTTAAGCAAAGCTAATGTATTGACAATTATTTACAAGAATAATTTACTTTCAGAATGATAGTTTATGGTACAAGATAAGTGTCTCTAGCATACTTTCATAAACTTGTACATAGTTTATAACAAGT